GTGAGCTAACCGGCCATCCCTATATGGGATCCGAACCTGGGGCCTTGGTGTTATCAGCACCGCACTCTCCCGAGTGAGCCACGGGCCGGCCTCTCATGCTCCCTTTTTGTCTCACAGACCTCAGCCCCCACATGCGACACCAGCCATCCTCTCTGTCTCACACACACACACCACCACCCATGTGCTCATGTGTACACCCTGCTGGACTCCCAGTGCTGCTGGCTCACTCTACTCTGCCCCACACCTGGCTCTCAGTAAAACACACTCTGCTGACAACACTGCATATCTCTCCCTGTCTCTACCAGGAAGGGGATCGGAAAGAATAGAGGCTCAGTGAGACTGAGCTATTTACCCAAAGACAAAGATGCTCAGGTTGTATGGGGTGGAGAAAGGGCTTCAGGTTCCAAGTCCAGACTGCCTTCCATGATATCACAGCTGCCATACTCTTCTGTTCTCCCTCTCTCCTCACCATCCCCTCCCCAAAGCACCAGGGAGGGACCCGGCTTTCCTGTCTTGTCTGCCCTGTTACCACTGAGAGAGAACAGGTGCCCGAGTTACCTGCGGCACCTCCACGGCAAACATGGAGAAGGAATGGAGGCAGAAGATCTTGGAGCTGTTGTAGCCAACCACGAAGCCCTGCAGCTTCTGCTGGTGCACAGGGAAGGTGCTGGCTTTGATATTAAGGTAGCCTCCTCCCGAGAAGCAGAGCATGTCCTCACACTGGGTGTTCCAGGCCACGCTGTCGGCATTGGGTTCCTGAGGGACAGGGATGGTGAGGATCCTGTGAGAACCACCCAGGGCTTTGGCACCATTCCCACATTTCAGTCAAATACCCCTATTAAAGGCTGAATCACAGCAAATTTCTCACAGTGGGGTGGAAGGAAAAGAGGAAAAGGGACCAGAGAGAGAGATGGATGGGGGCAAGCTCCTCCAAGCACTTGCATATTGTTGGAATTTTTGAAGCAAGCATTACTTTTGAGAAAAATTACTCTTCTCTCCAAATATTAATCACTACAGAGTAAGTGTAAAATCAGCAAAGTAGGATTCTACCTATATCAAAGAATAAATGTACATCTCCATGTACAGAAGAAGGCTTAAAAGGATATATTCCAAAGGATTAACAGTGATTGTTTTAGAGAGGGTAGAGTTGTGGGTGCTTTTTATTTTCTCCATTTTTTTGTTTGCCTCAATTTTTTTTGGTCCTGAACATCTATTGTTTTTCATAATAAGAAAAAGAATAGTGAGTTATTTTTAAGATTAGAAAATAATATATTGTCTCTGCATTTACAACACACACCCTGTAAAAATACAGTCACCCTGGGAGGCACCTTCTCTTCTCAGTCTTTTGTTCAGCCCTGGAACTTCAGGGACCGGCAGATGCACAGACCTCTTTGCCTATAATCTTTTACAACATCTAAATCTTTTACAATGAGCATGGATTGCTTTTTTTTTTTTGCCTAGCCTACTACAGAGCCATCAGTGGGGAGCGGGGAGGGCATGCCCCCATCCACTCTTACGTGGTTCCAGGCTCTGACACAGATTCACAACTGGGGGCCCCCTAACCCACCTACAGGGCTGTGGGGGACGCAGTGCTGAGTCGGGGAGAAGTGTAGTATTTCTGACCCTGTGTTGTGCCATGCACTGAGCTAGGCACTATGGGATCTTGTTTATTCCTACAGCAATTCTGTGAGGGGCAATTACTAGTTTCATCTTAGAGATAAGGAGAACTGAGGCTCAGAGACCAAGACTACATGGTGAGAGATACGGGTGGACTCAAGCCCAGGTCAGCCTGAAGGTAGCAGCTGTGCCCCTTCTTCCCCCAGCCACTCTGCTACTCAGTGACGAGTGAGTTGACACTAACTGGGAGTCACCTCTGGGCTAGCGGTCTCCAGGGAACCCCTTCCATTCACAGAGGCAGCTCCCTACTCCAGGTCCCTTCCACCCTCCTGATTCTGCTGCCAAGTACAAGGAAGAGCCCTGATAAGGGGACTTAAACCTGCCCGTAATATTGGGAAACTGCAGTGGCGCTCCAGGTCCCTTCCACCCTCCTGATTCTGCTGCCAAGCACAAGGAAGAGCCCTGATAAGGGGACTTAAACCTGCCCGTAATATTGGGAAACTGCAGTGGCTGAGGAAATCAGTCAGGGAAGGTTCTAGCTTTGGGGAGAACTCGCTTCAGGCAAACTGGCCCTGACCACTTATAAAGCCCTAAAGAGACAAAGAGCAGCTGAGTCCAGCAGAAAGCCAGCCAGGCACTGGGCACAGAGCCTTCGGGCTTCCTTTTCCAGTGACATACCTCCTCCGGCCTATACCCAAAAAGATCCAAGTAGTTCACATCTTGCTGGCTCTTACAGCATCCTTGAAGCAAGTAAAAGGGTGGTCTTCCCCCACCCCTGCCCCAATCCCTTCCCTTCTTTCAGACAACAAAACTGATCCTGTTTCCTTACTGTACCTTAGGTCACTCATAGAAACAGGCAGGCCCCAGTAGGTGAGACACAGACTTCTTCACAAGAATCATCATCACCTTAGCCCATTCACTGAGAACCTACAACATGCTCCACTTAGATTTACCACCATCTCATTCATTGCTCAGAGTAAACATATAAGAAAGGTGTTACTTGCCCATCTTACTGGCAATGGAACCAAAGTGCAAAGAGGCTGCCTAAGCCCTGTAGCCGGCGGGCACATGGGAAGAACAGGCTGTGTGTCTCAGGGCCTCTCGGACTCTGCACCTTTCTAGACCTTGCATCTCATGGCTCCTCCCAGAGACCTGCCTGGGCCAGAGCCTTGCTGCAGAGCTTCTCCTGCAGGGACTGGGAAGCTAAAGGAGGGTCTCTATACAAGGACCATGTCCTCAGGTACTCTTGGTGACTCCACCTGAAAAAGCAGCTCCCTGGTGTGGATGTCATACACAAGGCATGTGTTGTTTTCGTCCACCACGGCCAACTTGTTACGAGAAGCACTCATGTCCAAGCAGCGTACGGCTGTGGCCTGCTTCAGCAGGACAATGGCAAAGAGATTGTCCACGAAGATCTTCAGAATCTGGCAAAATTTCAGAGAAAAAGTATGAGTCACCATGGCAACAAGAAACTGGAACAATGCCAGACTGCTGGAATCCCATGTGTTCTGCAAGAACAACTCCCACTAACTCCACCAGAAGCTCTGTGCAGAGAAAAGGACTCATCAAAGAAAGACGGGTGGGTTGCTTATCCTTAGGGGAACAGAAGTGTGGTTCATCATCAGAGGTTGCTGAAGTAATGACAGGCCCAAGACATGCCAAACTGACTTTAGTGTCTACCTGGACTGGGGATTAGTTAATGATATGACCCAAACTGCAGAGTTAGGAGACACCATCTAGCAAACACCTGAGTAACAAACTAACATAGGAAGAGGCTACTGTAAACACTGAAAAGACATCTGGTATAGAATAATAATGATGATAATGCTGATGATGAAAGCTACCATTTCTTGACATCCCCATTTTTGACAGCCCTGATAAACATGGTGTATTATCCTCATTTGTAAAACTTGAGCCTCAGAGAGTTAAAGTGACCTGCCCATGGTCACACAGCTAGTGAGTAGCTAAGTAAGAACATGACTCCAGGTTGAGCTGCCCCAACACCTATCCTCTTGGCCTCCCATAGGGCGTGAGAGCTGAGTGTGAGAAGGAAGTGGATCCCCCCTTCGATGTTGCTGCTCCAAGGCTCCTGCTGATCTCACACTCCGGGATTTCTGTCCCCGGCAAAGACCCGACAAGCCTCAGCCATGGACCATCTGGTACACAGCTCCACTCTCAGGCTAATGCAGTTATATTTTGACTTTCAAATTTCCATACAGCCCACTTAGGACTTTTCTTATTTTGAGCAATGAGCAAAGAACGAACACACACACACACACACACACAAATCTGTTTAACTTTGTTTAACCTAGATTTCCCACATCTATTTGACCAAAGGGCCCATTTTTCTTAGAGCATCTAGTAGTGCCCTGGGACCCCACATTCTCTAGGACACACGCTAGAACACACCGCATTAATCCATTTCACTGCCCTAACAGAGATCTGACTTAAGTAATGATCTCTGCCTCCCTCTCCAGCAATCCACTGAAGCTGCATCTCTAACAAATCTCCCACCTGCTAGGTGACCTTGGCCCACTAATCCACTCTACGTGCAGCCCAGAGTCTGTAGCACCATCACTGCCAGAATGCAGACGTGCCGTGAGTCTGAGGGCCACTGTGCCTTTGGCCTGAAGTGGTCCTCACAGAACTCTGGGCTGCCCTCCAATGCACCCATGGAGGGGAAAGCCCGTTTCCTGCTCCTGCAACATATCTCAGGGTCATCCCTAGTTGGGTCGCCTGCATCTGCATACAGATGATCAGCCTGATGGGAGACATGAGCACTCACCTGTCCATTCTTCAGGCCCACTAACAGCCCTTCCCTTCCAGGAGGGCCACCAATCACTTTGATGTAACGAATGAGAGACTCCATCTGCCACTCCCGCTCCTTCACTCCGCTGAAGGACAGGCACTGCAGCCGTTTCTCCTAGAAAGCAAACCCAGCTCTGCATGGACACTCAACAGAATAAGTGCTCCCAGTCGTCCCAAGGAGGTCTTCCTGCACCTGAGGGGTGAAAGAATATCTACACATGCAGTATCTATCTAACCCCATCTAGTCCCCATGATTGGCATCCTTCAGGCAATTCTTCCCTATGGAGCCCAACTAAACCTCAGAACTTCAACACAGACCTCCAGGGAGCCACAGCCAGAGGCAGCACCTGAAAGTACACCTACTTGCCAGACCTATCCTGTAACTTGTGGTACTCCTAAACTGCTTGAAGTTCTAGACTTTCAGAGAGGCTTTCATAGTATTTTACAGAAGAGTGGTTTCTAAAGGATTTCTTCCATCTCACCACTTCTAATAGGCCTATGTGAAACCAAATCCACCTTACTTCCAAGGGTGCTGGGCTAGCCTTCTCTCAACGTCTTTCCAAACTTTTCTTGGCATCGATCTAGACACTTTCAAGGACTCTAAGTCGAGAAATTTTTTTCTGTGAATAAAAATCTCTCAGGAAATAAAACTTCTTTGCCTACCACTGAGTTGATATACATTTTTATGTGTATATGGTTACCACAAAAAAAATCTGTCTTCATTTTGTAGGACATCAATGTACATTTTAAGTCATTGTAATATATCTAATCCCAGTATGACAAAATGCTCTACAATCCAAAGAAGTATTCTCCAGTTTATGGCCCATGACTTTTTTTTTTTGATGACCAGTAGGGGATCTTAACCCTTGACTTGGTTTGTCAGCACCACACTCTCCTGAGTGAGCCATGGGCCAGCCCCTATGCCCCATGACTTTCTAATAGAGCCTGATTCACCTAGATGCCAGGGAGATGAAAGCCAAGGAACTGCCCCTGTGTTTGATGGAAAGGGACTTTTTCCTTGTGACTAGTTTTAAAACCATGAGGTGGGAACCCTGTGGGGGGTGCGTAAAGCAGGTCCAGCCTGACCCTCCATCATGCTGTTGCCCACCTGGCAGAGGACGATGTGATCAGTACACACCACCAGGAGGTTGCATTCAAACTTCCTGACAATCTTCTCCTTCACCCGGTAATGCATGTCTGATGAGTCATCTGAATACAGCTCATAGATGAGGATTTTCTCCGGTAGTTGGATAGCTAATCGATTTTTGTAGATGGCAATTTTCTTGACAAGCTCTTTACATTTAATCCGAACTGTCAAGGAAAAAAAATCAAACTCTGGCAAGAGGTTGTTAAGTAAGGTGGAAGGCAAAGAAATTAAAAGGTATCATTTACTAAACGCTACTGGCAATTCAAATGAGACACTCTGTAGTGGATTGAATTATGTCCCCCCAAAATTCAATGAAGCTTGAATTGTGTCCCCCAAGTGTCCACACCAGCATACAGAGGAGGTCGAACATGAAGTCAAGGTACCTGATTCGCCAGCTTTGAGATTTGATGCCTGCCCCACTGGGTTTGACTTGTTTGGGACCTGTTACCCCTTTCTTTTGGCCTATTTCTCCCTTTTTGCATGGGAATATGTACCCTATGCTCATCCCACCATTGTATCTTTTGAAGTAGATAACTTGTTTTTGATTTCACAGATGGGACTTTGAACTTTGGACTTTTGAGTGGAAACAAGTTAAGACTTCTGGGGATGATTAAAAACTTGGCCCCACTGTGACTGTTAGAGGGTGGGAAATCCTATTAAGGTGGAGCCTTGAAGAGGTGATTGGATTGTAAGACTATGCAGTAAGTGAATGGATTAAAAACGGTGGTCAGGGGCGTGGTTCTGAGGGCTTTAAAAGAAGAAGAGAATCTGTCTTGCTCTCTCTCTCTGCTTCTACCATCCTGCAATGTGAGACCCCTGGGTCAATGTTGCCACGACTAGATAGACTTTTGATTTCCAAGCTTAAAACTGTAAGCAATAAATTTTGTTTTCTTTATAAATCACCCAGTTTCATGTATTTTGTTATAAGCAACATAAACGGACTAATACACACTCTCATTAAAAAATCTTTACAGTGTCTACTATGTACAATCAGCTCTGCTGAACACTGGGATCCAAAGTTGCATGCAATACAATCTTTGTGGCCTCAAATCACAACCGAGTGTGGAAAATAAAACACCTAGTGCTATCATCACCTGCTGAATACAAATCTAAACTCTGCACAGCACTAATGATCCCTGACAATCAGGAGCTTAAGTGACTGACCTCACCTCTGACTACTTCTGTAGAGGATTCATAAGGCAAATGTACCTCACAGGGCCTGATTTTCCAAAGGCTTTCAGTTTCAAATACTGACCTTGCAAAGGACAGGAAATTTCCCCCAGGGCATTGAGTCTCTGTTGCAAGATAAGAATTGTAACACAGCAAGGCTGATGGTTCTAAGACAGACAAGTTACTAATTGATATGTAAAGTTACTAAAAAGCTGCTAGAGGGAAAAGGAATGTTGGCTAAATCAAGCCTTTGTTAGTGGATCACTTAATTGCCTAACAGAATGTCATCTGACTTGTTTTTACTGAATGTTACCAGCTTCTATTGTAAAACTTGTTACACTGTACTTAGCAAAACCCCACCTATGTCTTCCTGTAACTTGGTCTGGAGAATAAATGCAGGAAGAAAACCCCTATTCCTGGTTAATTTCCCAAATGGAAGGATGCCTTATGCTTGAGGGTCCTGGGATATTAACCCCTTTCTGGGGCTTCTCACAGCTCGAAAGAGATGGGCTTTGAGTAATCTTTGGCGGCTCCGTCACCCAGGGGAAAAAGGGGTGACAAATCCGTGGGAGGCAAAGCAACACACTTCCCATCCAACTCCTTGACAATAGGGAACGGCATGTAGTGTCTGATACACACGAGGCTCTACACTCTCACTACAGACCAGGTGGAGAAACTGCCCCAGAAGGGACAGCTGCCCAAGTGGCTATACCCTCATCATCACAGCTGGAATCTTCAAACAGAAGTGCTCCAGGATGGGGACCAAAGGGTGTCCATCTAAATCACAAGACAACCCCTAACCTGGAGCTCTACGCAAAGGTACCTGGCAGTGTGCACATCTGGATATGAATATTCCTGAAATAAGTGGATTCTCAGCCTATTCAACTGGCATGGCAATTGGGTGGACAGAGGGGGACTGAGGTTAGAGCTTGACTGACTGTGCTAAGCCTGGATTTACCAACAGAGCCTGTGCCGACCCTCTGCCCCTGCTTACCTCTGGCAGCAGGACCTGCCAGTAGGCAAGTGAAGACTGGGCTGAGGAAGAAGCATCCCAGAGTGATCTTGACCACAAAGGATAAACGTCCACAAAGACATGCAGGTCTACCACCACCCTGGTTCTGACTTGTTGTAAGTCATCCTCCCTCACTCAGGGAGTCCATGGACCACTTGGAATTATTCACAAAGTTTTGTGAGTTGAGGCACATTTTTTGAGGGAGGGTTTATTACTTTTGTGAGATCCTCAAGGAGATCTACATTCCCTGCCCCTACCAAAAAAAGCAAGACCCAGTGGCTAGCACGTTTTCAAAAGGCCGAGGAGAAATATTTCCTTTCATTTCAAGTTCCCTGTCATGAGTTCTCTCAACCTTCCCCTCTGCTCAGTGTCTAGAGGGCAGAGGGGCTGTACCTGCCACTTACCTTTCTGCTCAGTGATCAGGTGCTGCACGATGACATCAGTCATGCTGTCCCTGTAGGTATACCGGTCCTTGTAGAGCCCATGGACTGTGCTGAAAATAAGCTGGTATAAGGAAATGGAGCCGTCCTGGCAGCCTACCACCTGCAGCGGAAGAGGGAGAAACAGTCTACCCTCCCATCTGTCAGGAATGATTGCCAATGACCTGACCGGCTAAACGTGGCTGATGTTCAGTGCCTCCTCAAGCAATGGCCCAACAGAATGAACTTCCTCTTCTTACCACATAGTTGGAATCAGGTTTCACTTTACACGTCCACACCCAGGAGTTCTGCTCTCCAATTGTCCCAAGCCGCACTCCATCCTTGGTGAAAAGGGATACTTGCTTGTCTGACCCCCCGAGCAAAATGTACTCCCCTTTAGTAAAGTAGCTGATGCAGCAGGGGTCAAAGTTCAGTGACCGATCCTTCCCAATCTGAGAAAAGAGAACACACACCAAGAGAGAAACCATTTCTAAAACCATAATGATCACAACGCAGTTGAGGGTTTTTCCCACCAACTTCAACGGGAGGAATTGGGAAGACAGGGAAGAGCTGGCCAGCCTTATCTCCTGCTTTTCTTCTGTGTTATTCCATCATGAACTCAGGCATCTCTACCTCTGCATATCCCAACTCTCCCCCTCCACACAGCCAAATCCCTGACTTCTACAGTCAATAGCGTCTCTCCCAGTCTCACCTAACTGCTCCAGGAGTGTGTCAGCTGGAGGCTGGGAATGATCTTTCTCCCTTAGCCCCTCCTCTGGACATGGAACATTGCTGTGGTTCAATGGACCCCTTCAGCTTTCTTCTTCTTTTAGTATTTCACAAAGCTGGGCCGAGCCTGTGGAGCACTCGGGAGAGTGCGGCGCTGGGAGCGCAGTGGCGCTCCCGCCGCGGGTTCGGATCCTATATAGGGATGACCAGTTCGCTCACAGTGCTCACTGGCTGAGTGCGGTGCGGCCGGTCTCAAAAAGGACAAACCCCCCCCCCCCCAAAAAAAACAAAAAAAACAAAGCTGACATTATTTTGATTAAAAGACTGTGCTTTCCTCTGAAACTATACCCATCCTATTTCTCTTTATAAAAATTTTTTGAGATACTATTCACATACTATACAATTCACCCATTTAAAGTATACAACTCAATGCCTTTCAATATATGAAGGTACTTCAAAAAGCTCATGAAAATATTCACTTTATCTTTTTTTTTTTTTTTTTAAGATGACCGGTAAGGGGATCTCAACCCTTGGCTTGGTGTTGTCAGCACCACGCTCACCCAGTGAGTTAACTGGCCATCCCTATATAGGATCCGAACCCGTGGCTTTGGTGTTATCAGCACCGCACTCTACCAAGTGAGCCACAGGCCGGCCCTCACTTTATCTTTTAATTCTATCTTTCCATGAACTTTTTGAAGTATCCTCATAGTCACAGAATTGTACAATCATCATCACCATCTAATTCCAGAACATTCCCATCATCCCCCACAAAAAACCCTGTATCTGTTAGTAGTCAATCCCAATCCCTCCCTCTCCTCATCCCTGGCAACCACTAACCTACTTTCTATGTATACAGATTTGCCTGTTCTGAACATTTCATATAAATAGAATCATACAATATGTGGCCTTTTGCATCTGGTTCATCCATGTTGCAGCATGTACAGCACTTCATTCCTTTTCATTGATGAATAATAATCCACTGCATGATATACGACATTTTATTTATCCATTCATCAGCTGGAGGACATTTGCATTGTTTCTACCTTTTGGCTATTATGAATAATGATGCTATGAATATTCATGTACAAGTTTTTTTGAGTGGACATATGTTTTCATTTCTCTTCAGCATATACTTTGAAGTGGAATTGCTGGTTCATATGGTAACTTTATGTTTAATCTTTTGAGGAATTGCCAAACTTTTTCAAAGTCACTTCACCATTTTATATTCATACCAGTAGTGTACGAGGATTCCAATTTCTCCATCCTAGTGGGTGTGAAGTGGTATCTCATTGTGGTTTTGATTTGCATTTCTCTGATGGCTAAATAATGTTGAGTATCATTTCATGTGCTTATGGGTCATGGAGAAATGTCTATTTAGATCCTTTGTCAATATTTTAAAATTGGGTTACCTGTCCTTTTATTATTGAGTTGTAATAGTTCTTTATATATTCTAGATACAAGTCCCTTATGAGAGATATAATTCACAAAAATTTTCTCTCAGTCTGTGGCTTGTCTTTTCACTTTCTTTTTTTTTTTTTTTAAAAAAAAAAGATAACCAGTAAGGGGATCTTACCCTTGACTTGGTGTTGTCAGCACCATGTTCATGCAGTGAACTAACCGGCCATCCCTATACGGGATCTGAACCTGTGGCCTTGGTGTTATCAGCACCACATTCTCCCGAGTGAGCCACGGGCTGGCCCCTCTTTTCACTTTCTTGATGGTGTCTCCTCAGCTTTTAGGATGAAGGTCAAACTCCTGAGCTCAGCCCCCAAGATCCTTCTTTCAGCCAAAACGAACTTCTTGCAGTTTCCCAAGTGGACCGTGTTCTTGCAGGCCTCCATGTCCCACAGGTGCTATTCTCTATACCACCCAGGCCTGGCCAGGAATGCTCTTTGCCTCTCCTTCACTGCCAGGTGTCATCTCCTTCAAGAAACACCCCCAATCTCCCCATCTGAGGCCTAATTTACCCTCCCACCCCGTGCTCCCACAGCCCCTGCGTTCGCCTCTCCCACAGCATGTCTCTCATGGCTCTACAGTTGTAGGTTTAATTTCATGTTTTCCCCCACTGAAATCCAAGCTCCTTATTGCCATTGGAGTTTTTTGCTGCCCCTTAGGGTGTGTTGTGAATGAAAAGAATATTTATGATTAACATTACTAAATATTCAATTTATTAAAGAAATAACTCCAGAAACCTAGTTTCTTATATTTTTAAGTTCAATTTACACATATTTTCCTTTTTCTAACTCTAGTAGAAGTGAAGAACTAATTGACTTTGACTATATAATGAATTCAATTTTGAACAGATTATAAAATCCTTTAAATATTTTGTCCCATTTGCAACTTAATTAGTTAATTCCCTTAAACTAATTTAAACTGCAATTATAAGTTTAGTATATTCAATTTTCCTTTCCTTTTTAGGAATTTCAAATGCTTAGCAAACAAAACTTTCCCTAGTACGCATACAATGCTAGTAAATCTCATAAGAAAACATGGAAGGCTGGTGGCTTCTGGTAATGGCTCAGTAGTTCCTACTGGACCAATCCTGCTGCAGGTAACAGCTATAAACTCTGGACCAATTATAAACAACAATCACAGAAGGCACCTGAGGGCAACCCAAAGCAGGCGGAAACTGAAGACATGCACATTTGGAAGAAGAGAACAGCGTCAGGTGAGCTTCTCATTTTTTTAAATGCTTTTTTTTTGCCTGAGGACAGGCCTCATCAGCACCATGCTGGGTGACCACAGAATTTGGGAGGACCACAGCAGCTGGAAAATGAGGTGAGAAATCCCAGAAAAGGGACATAGAGCAACAGCCTAAATTCTGCACATAAACTGCTGAATATCTGGGAACACCTGAAGTACACATGCACAACGCAGAGGCCCCGCAGCTTAGCTAAAGCTAGAGAACTGCAGAGAGATTCCAGCTGCTACCCACCACTGAAAACATGGAGTTTGAATTTTGGGTCCAGCAAAGTAAACTGCCTGCTTGAATGTATGTGTGCATACACACACTAATCTTAAGAGCAATGTGACAGAAATGATGTATCATTCACAATGTCCAGAGTACAATCCAAAATTCCAAAAAAGGAGGAAGATGTGAAACATATTCAAGAGAAAAGAATCATGGAGACTGACCCAAGATGACCCAGATGTTAGAATTAGCAGATGAGAATTTTAAAACAGCTACTAGAACTATGGCTAATGATATAAAGGAAAATATGCTTGTAATAAATGCACAAATAGGAAAAATGAACCCAGTACAAATTCTAGAACTGAAAAATGCAATAACTAAAACAAAAATTCACTGGATGGGTTTAACAAAAATATTAGAGATTACAGAAGAGTCAATGAAGTTGAATACTGAGCAATACAAATCTTTCAATCTGAAGATCAGATGTAAAGAAGGAGATTTTAAAAAATGAACAAGGCCTGAGTGACCTGGAGAACAATACCAAAAGGTCTAACATAAGTTTAATTGGAGTCTCAGAAGCAAAGGAGAGAATGGGGAAGAAAAAACATTTGAAAAAATAATGGCCAAAATTTTTCCACATTTGGTGAAAGGCAAACACATAAATGTATATGGATTCAAAAAGCTCAGTGAACCCCAAGCAGGAAAATGTAATGAATCTGTTGAACATTCCAATATTGCTTAGGAACTTGATTTAAAAAATTCTCATATCGGGCCAGCCCGTGGCTCACTCGGGAGAGTACGGTGCTGATAACACCAAGGCCACAGGTTCGGATCCCATATAGGGATGGCCGGTTAGCTCACTGGCTGAGCCTGGTGCTGACAACACCAAGTCAAGGGTTAAGATCCCCTTACCAGTCATCTTTAAAAAAAAAAAAAATTCTCATATCTTTCCCTTTAAAATCAGAAGTATACTGCCCATACCAGCCAGCTGCCAAAAATACATACAAACATAAATAAATAAATAAATAAATAAATAAATAAATAAATAAATAAAAATTAAAATAAATAAAATCAGAAGTATAAAATTAATTACTCAATTACAGCTTTTATTTTTATTTATTTATTTATTTATTTATTTAAAAGATGACCGGTAAGGGGATCTTAACCCTTGACTTGGTGTTGTCAGCACCACGCTCACCCAGTGAGCCAACCGGCCATCCCTATATGGGATCCGAACCCACGGCCTTGGTGTCATCAGCACCACACTCTCCCGAGTGAGCCACGGGCCGGCCCCCAATTACAGCTTTTAAATGGTCACCACAAGACAACCCTGAAAGATATTCTAATACGGATTCTGGCACCAGTTTGCCTGGGTTCCAAACCAGGCTTGGCCACGGACTGAACTGTATGCCCTTGAGCAAATTACTGACCCTCTCTGTGCCTCGATTTTCTTACATGTAAAATGGTGATGACTGAGTGAGCCACGGGCCGGCCCCCAATTACAGCTTTTAAATGGTCACCACAAGACTACCCTGAAAGATATTCTAATACGGATTCTGGCACCAGTTTGCCTGGGTTCCAAACCAGGCTTGGCCACGGACTGAACTGTATGTCCTTGAGCAAATTACTGACCCTCTCTGTGCCTCGATTTTCTTACATGTAAAATGGTGATGACAATAGTACCTACCTCATAGGGTTGTTTAAAGGATTAAAAGAGTTAATCCTTTTGAGAGTTTATACAATGCCTGGAACTCAATAAATATTCAGCTGCTATCATTATTATTATTAAGTCAGATCCTCTTAAATATTACAAACACTTAAAATGTCAAAAGTGCACAAATTATACCTAAGCCTAAAACAAAAGTAAGGGTTTGATTTACTTCATCATCCTATATTTAATTCCAAATCTTCCAAAAGTTAAAAGATTCCCACCAATAAAACAATTTTACTGTTCCAAACAATTTGGGGTTACTATCCCAGCAGGCTGAGCTTTATCATTCAAAAGTTTTGGGCCACAACATGAGCTCTAAGGCTATATACATGCAAAATATTTCCCATGACCCTGACCACCATATTGAACTTTTTTTTATTATCACTATAGCAACAAGATCCCATTCTCTCCTAGTGTAGTGTGGTTATTTGACCCCAAGAGTCTCCAATACCTATAACCCAGTGCCTGGTACACAGCAGATGTGCCAATACATATTTGTTGAATGAAGATGTACACACATTAAGTGAATGAATAGATAGCACCAAGAAACCTAGATATTGGATAATTAAAATGAGGATTTTGGGAAATCAGCCATGGAAAACTGAGAAAACCTTCATTAACTACTACCTTTTTCTTTTTCTTTACTCAACTACGAAATAAATAATCAATGGTAAGATGGGGCAGAAGAAATGGTCCTGAAGCTGAGCTACATACACCTGAAACCCTTCCTTCTAGCATGACATGTTCTGAGGAACAAGGATGCCATAAAATGAAAGGCTCCATTGAATGAGTATTTCTCATTTGCTTGGCTGTAGTATGTAACCTGTACCCACCACCTCCATTAATCCTTGGCCTTTCCTGCCTACTAACAGGTCATTCTACTACCACACTCCCTATTTTTAATCCGCCATTGACAGAAATGAGAAATTCTTCTGAAACAGGAATCTGACCATGCCACTCCCTGCCATCTATGGCTCCTGAGTACTTGTATATATGATGTTCAAACACCCTATTCACACTACTCAGGTCCTTTACAATCATGTCCACATCTTCCTTTCCAGATCCACCTTCAGTCCACAAACTCTCAGATCCAGTCACCCTGAACAACTCACTGTTCTCTGAACTGTCATACATTTTCATTCCTCCATGACTTGGTATATGCTATTTCCTCTGCCTGAAACACCATTCCCAATGTCCTCAGCCTGGCAAACTCCTGCTCACCCTGCTCAAAGGTCACCTCTTTAAGACTTCCCATCTCCACCAAGCAGTGATGTCCCCTTCTTTTGGGTTCCTATAGCTCTCTACATGTACAGCTCTCTAGTATGTCACATCACACCACACTGCAATTATCTGCTATGCAGCATGTCCCACCAGTCTGTGAGCTCTTGCAGGGCAGAGGCTTTTGCTTACACAGCTCCATGTCAGCAGCTCCTCTATGCTGGGGCTGGTCTAAGAAGGTGCTCATAAATGTTGCTAGGATGAATGAAAGCAAATAGAGTAAAGTAAGGTCATGACTAACAGCTAGACTTTAAAGTCAAACTGATCTGGCTTTCAGCAGCAGGTTCCACCAGGTACTAGCTGTGTGGAACCTTGGGTGTAATATTTCACTGCTCTGAGTCTTGGTCTACTTGTCTCTAAAAAGCTGATAAGAAAAGTATCTACTTCACAGGGCTTTATAAGAATTAAATGACATAAAGTATGCAAAGTACTGAGCACAGTAAGTACCTGGTATTATGGTAAATGCTTAATAAGCAGGAGCTAACAATGATAATATATAATTACTTTCTGAGGTTTCAGAAAGTAAAAATATGCTATAACAAGTATGACAGCAACTGGGTTTGTACAGAGCTACATACCTGTTTTCCACTTAGTTGGTAGAAGGAAAGTTTCTGTCCCCAGTCAGCTACAGCCAGGATGTCATTATGCTCCTCTCTAATCAACAGAAGACAAAAGAGGTTATTAGGGGCCATGGCCTGCTGATGAATGTAGCCCTAAGGGTTTAACAAACAACAGGAAAAAGAATACTGGACAGGCTGTCAGGTTGCCAAATGTTGTACAGCTTTCCTGAGGCCAAAAGTTGTAATCTGGCCCAACCAATTAATCAATCCAGTGGAAGGAAGCAGAGGTGAGGCCCAGTCCTCCTGGGATCTGCTATTTCACTGAACCCCCTGCCATGAGCTTATGGCGCTGGGACACTGTCACAGCTGAAGAAGATAAACCCCTCATTTCAGAGCTTCCTGGGGAACAACAACACTCGAAGAGCAAGGTTGCAGATCCAAGAGCACTTTTCTCTTGCATGGTATAAAATGTAGGGAGACAGTGGAGAAACACATCTTTGCAGTGGGAAGGCATGGAGTGTCTGATTTTTTAATGAACAATGGGGAAACATGCTTGCTGTTCCTGAAGAGGCACAATTAACACGTTAAACTATGTTCTCCTGCAGTTGAGGTCCTCACATAGGTGAAATGTTTTCTGACTGGATCTTATTAAAAAAAAAAGTGGTGTGCTCTCTGAAGACCAACAACTTTCTTTGAAACTGAGACCCTATGGGGATCAGTGCCTTGGGACTGGGGCTGCAGGACCAGCACGCAAGAGAAACCCCCTCGCTGGGCCTGGGGAGCAGCCTACCTGGGAATCTAGTTCAAGAGAGAGGTGTTTCCAGCCGTTGAGGCCAGGTCTTAAGGGTACTTCAAAAAGTTCATGGGAAGATTTGTATCTTTTAATTCTAATTTTCCACAAACTTTTTGAAGCACCCTCATATACCTAATGTTGCCTCTTCTTTGTTTATTAGTTCCAGCTTATCTGAGCCCGGGGCCTTTCGGTTGCCTGGCAGCACCACTGGATATGCAGGCAGGCGTGATGTAGCCTTAGTTGTAAAACCAGCCAAGAGTGGCAAAGGGGCAAATGTCACAGCCACTAAATCAGAACTGAGGGAAAAAAAGAGAGATCAAGAGGGATGTTAACAGGAAGGGGCTTGAAGGTGAACTCTGTATGACTGGCACTGAAGTCCAAACACAATCTAGGAGGCTAAGCCTGCAGTGAGCCCTCTTGAGGAGGCTACATATGGCTCTGTGCTGGGCTCAAACCCTATGAGCTAGGTTGGTGATTTTCAACCTCTTTTTTCCTTTTTCTTCCCCACGCCCTCCTCCCCTGCCCCAGCAGTGGTACTCTTCACAAAACAAAAACTCAACATTAAACAATAAAAGGGGGTGCTCTGGTTGAAGAACAGATGGGGACCTGAAGCCCACCTCTTCCTCCTCTCCTTGTCCCCACTTCCCACCCCATGACCCTGGGGTGGGGTTCAACCCAGTTTGGAATGTTCCAAGCTAGATCATTACTGCTCAATCCAAATATCCTGGCTACCCCAGTTTTCCCCACCCACCTCTTCCTCCTCTCCTTGTCCCCACTTCCCACCCCATGACCCTGGGGTGGGGTTCAACCCAGTTTGTAATGTTCCAAGCTAGATCATTACTGCTCAATCCAAATATCCTGGCTACCCCAGTTTTCCCCACTCTGGCCTGCTGATGTTTTCCCTTCAGATAATCTCAATTGAAGAGAAGAAAAAAATGCCTAGACAGACAGAATTTGGGTGTGAGGATTGTGGGTAAGGTAAGGGCTTCCTCTCAGATATGTGTACCAGCAAATGCAAGGTAAGGCACAGTGGGGGAACAGCCTAAGAAACCTGTCCAGTCACAGAGGAAGTGTTAAGTGAGTTTATTGATATTTATATGGGACATACTATGCAGGCATTAAAAATCACATTTTTCGAAGGATTTCTAATGTTACTGGAAAGAATTCACTGTATGATGTTAAGTGAAAAAAAAGAAAAATAGGATGTGATTTAATTATATGAACACCCTAAAAGACTGGGGAAATATATTAAAATGCTAATAGTGGCTTCCTCAGGGGATGTGTTTTATTTATTTATTTATTTTTATTTTTTATTTATTTTTTTCTCTTTCTTAATTTTATTTTGTCGATATACAATGAGGTTGATCATTGTGGCCCATTACCGAAACAGGGGATGCGTTTTAAAGAAAAATTGAACTCTCCTTTACACTTTTCAGTATTTCCTGTAGTTTTTCAAAGGATCACTTTATAAACACACACGTTTTAAGGGTGTATTCCCTTTGTTGAAGGAGCTTTCACCCACAATTTTCCCTGGCCCCTGTACTGCTTCCCTTGGCCAAGGAGCTTAGCAGCAGCAGCTGCCCCAGCAGGTCTGTGCAGGGCCTGGGCACTTACAAGGAGTGTTCTCTCTCCTGGGGACACACTCACAAGTTGTTGTCGTCTTCCTCTGGCTCTTCCTCTGCCTCACTACCCTGACTACTGTACTCTGCTGACTTCAGAGTGGAAGGGATTTCCTGAAAGTATCTGTTGACAATGACTTCCTCAGCATCCTCATTCTCTATGTTCATCCAGAAACTCTCCCATCGGCTGTAGACAGTAAATAGTTGTTCACAATCACGTTGCTTAGAACTACACTAAAGGAATAATTTCAAAACCCGTCAAGGAGCCCCTGAACCCTACCCAGAAGAGGACAACCACCAGGTACACTGGGCATCCTGCTTCTTATGATTTAAAAATGATAGCCTAAAGCCACAAAGTATCTGTGGCCAAAAACTCAAATAGCAGGAACTCTGGGGTAGGCTAATAGCCTTTGACAGCATTAGACATGCATGATACAGCCTGGGCTGGACGAAATTATTCAGGAAGAAGCATAATGATCTGGCGTATAAGAGGCAATGGACTAAACAACCTTCTAAATCAAGTAGGCACCCACCTCTAAAATGACATTGGGCTAATAAACAATTAAGTCCTTTAATTTACCTTCAGAGGACTCTGTGGGGGATACTAATGGTTTAATAGTATTATAGGATTAAACGAAGAGCATACATAGCTCTTAGTCCATTCTCAAAGTCCCATGAACATAAAAAGGAAAGCATGTACGAGGTTTGAGAGGTAGATGCCAATTGTTTATGGATCTCTAGGCTTTAGGGACATTTGTAGACTTAATTTTGACTTTTTTGAAAGAGCAGCAAAAAAGGCTCATGATACTGTTTATTAACAAGTGGGCACATATTCTGCCCAGACTTGGAGGGAAGAAGTGAAAAAGGGAAAGACAAAAATAAAACCACAGCAAAGAGCTCAGCTATTAATTCATAAGGAAATTTGTTGTGTTGCTCACATACTGTACACATACACTACTAAACACACTCAGGCACGTGTGTGCACATGTACACACACATACACACACACACATTGCGCTGGCCTAGATAGCTCATCTGCTTAGCTAAATCTCTGGGATTCATTCCAAAACTCAAGATAGGATCTTAAAAAATTCCATTCAAATGGAACAGGTTCCAAAACAGACCAGTCAAGTGGGTTGAGAAGCCTTTGAATGTTTAGGACCTCAGGAAGAAAGAACCTAGCCTGCTGAGAAAGCCCTTCTTCATAGCGGTACTGTCCTAGAAGGAGGACAGCTGTATGTGTACCTCGAAGGGTTCCAGCAGATGGACCATATTGGGGAGAGGGAGCCCCCCGGCCGCACGATCTTCACTTTCTCCTCGCCGTTTTTGTTCCGGATGCTGATGATTCCACTGAACATCCCCAGAGCCAGGTACTGACCATCATTTGTCCAGCTGTGCACACAACCAACAAAGGGCATGGGGAGAGGGAGAACACACACAAAGTAAAACCAGTGAGGATGATTTCCTCTTGGTTTGAAGTAAAGTCTAAGGAGGCAGCAATGGCTGGGCTGTGGTTTCATCGTTCCCAGCCCTGACATGAAGTCAGAGGACCCAACTCAAAATCCCACTTGTTTCTGGAATCAGCAGTGAAATGTGAAGGCAGCAGTGTCTTTTTCTGAGCTCCCTCAGTTCTCTGTACATAACTCCATGACAGCCCTTAGCAAGTACCTGAATCTCTGAACCAGCCCCCATTCCCTACTCTCCATTTCAACCCCCTCCCACTTCAAAAGTATCTTAAGAATAGACTCTATCTTGGTGTATTCCCAGCCCCTAGAACAGGGCTTGACATACAGTAGGAATTTGACAGATGCTGAATGAAAGGGCTACACTCAGCAGCTGAACAGCAAAAATGGCTACCAGGTATAGTGCCTACTGTACACCAGGCGATGTGCTGCATGCTTTATGCTCGTTAGTTCATATCAAGTCAGTATTTTTTTTAATAGGTAAAAGAGTAACACCTAAGAATTTATTATGTTAAAGACTCTTAGAGATAATGCTGATTGCAATAAACACACTGACAAAGCCTAGTTTAAGAGGGCAGATATTTGAAAGTCCATGTGTTATTAAGTTTTACCTCTCAGAAGCTAGTACCACTTTTCAACATAAAGACATTAATAATGAAAACTTCTTGGGCCTTCCCTGAGGTCTTACCATTTTTTTTCTTTCTTTTTTCAGTTGATTTGCTTTATATCTATCAGCCATTGACATAGCTCTTCTAGAATACTCTGATATGCTCTTTCCAGAGTATTAATCAATTCAGTGGCAACCCTCCAATCATTTCTAGTGATTTCTTTTTTCAGTTGATTTGCTTTATATCTATCAGCCATTGACATAGCTCTTCTAGAATACTTTGATATGCTCTTTCCAGAGTATTAATCAATTCAGTGGCAACCCTCCAATCATTTCTAGTGATAAGGGAAATTGACATTCTAGTCCTCTTTGCTCTTCCAGTGTGCCTTACTCTGTGTACATACTCGTATTCTTCAGTGTTATGTGGGAAATCATAATTACAGACATGTATAATATCATGGACATTAAGACATCAGGAGCTAAGTCAGTAGCAATTAGAATTCTCACTTTACCTGTTTTAAAGTTCTTTAATGCTTTCTCCCAATCACTCTGTTCTCTACTACCATGCAGACTCTATAGATATGTGTCAGAGAATCTGGTCACTTGATAAGTGATCAGCAAGAGCTTTTCTACTAATAAAGACAATGACTGTGTCTTTAGGTGACATACTTTCTAAGAAAGTTTGGATATGAGTTTGTTTCTCCTCCTCTGTGGTGACAATTATATTTTGTTTCACTGTACTTATAGCAACTAGATCCAAAGTACCAACATAGACAACCATCATTGGCTCTTTTGAATAAGATTGTGCGAGTCAACAGACAGCATATGGCCAAGTTGCACTTAAGTCAGTATTTGTATCCTCATTTGTCAGATGAGGAACCTGCGGCTCTAGCTCAGAGAGCTTTAGTAGCTTTCCCGAGGTCACAGAGCCTGTCTGGGACAGAATGTGGACTCTAACCCAGGTCTAGCATCAAAGCTGGTGCTTTCTCCTCCACACATGCTATGCTGCCTGGACAAGAACGCCTCACATTTCCAGGGAGCCTCCACTCAGTATAGCTGTATGTTGAAGAGGCTTGTTGGTAGATAACTGCACGAAGGCAACTTGTAGTTCTCTCTTGCTTGACGATCAAAGGCATGGGTCTTCCCATCAGGGAGACCAGAAAAGAAGAAAAAGAAAATACAGGAGCCCAAACCAACTAGTTAACACAAGACCTCCTCTGCTGTGTGAAATAACTAAATTTTGAGAGTCTGTTTGGAAGAGAAAGAAACATAGCCTATCTTCAGAGCTGCCCTTAACTTACCTGCAGCAGGTGATCTTACTGCTCGATTTGTGCTTGGAGACAGACTTCTGTTCAGGAGACCACAACCCTTCAATGCACAGTAATTTAAAAGAAGATAGATTGGTTGGAATATCACTCAGCAACAAAAAGGAACAAACTATTGATTCATATGACAACTTATATGGATCTCTAGGGCTTTATGCTGAGTGAAAAAAACCAATCTCAAAAGGTCATATACTGTATGATTATGATTTCATTTATATAACATTCTTGAATGATGAAATTATAGAAATGGAGAACAGATTCGTAGTTACCAGGGGTTGGGGATAATAGGAGGTGAGGAGGGTGGGTATGGTGATGACAGTACCTGTGTGTTGATGGAACAGTTCTGTATTGCAGTGGTGGTAATCTACATGTTATAAAACGACAGAACTATATACACACATTGTGCCAGTCCCAGTTTCTTGGTTGTGATATTGTACAAGAGTTACATAAGAGGTCTGGCTGGTTAGCTCAGTTGGTTAGAGTGTGGTGTTATAACACCAAGGTCAAGGGTTTAGATCCCCATACTGGCCAGCTACCAAAAAAAAACCATAAGATATATCCACTGGGGGAAACTGGATGAAGAGTACATGAGACCTTTCTGTACTATCTTTGCAATTTACTGTGAATCTATAATTATTTCAAAAGAAAAAGAAAAAAAGAAGATAGGTTGGTGAAGCTCTAGACAACTTTTCAGGGATTTAACTCTCAAAAAAATGACAACTTTACTGTTCATAACTGTGACACCACACCCAGAGTACAACTTAGCATTTAAAGTAATGAATGCACGGTGCTGACACCACCAAATTCTAGGTTTCAATTCCTGTACCAGCCAGCCACCAAAAAAATAAAATAATGACTGATGTTTTCTGAAAATCCAGTTCCTTCTCCCAGGCCTCACCCACAACACATGACCTTATCTGAGCTGTGCCTTAACCATGGCACACTGGTCCCCTGAAACTTGCTGTCTCCTGCCCTCAGATACCCTGGCTCAGTGCCACACAGCAACAGGTGTATGTACAGACAACATAAGCAAATTCTACTGTTTGCTTGAGCTGTGAAGCATGGCCAAGAAGGTAAATCTAGTACACAAATATATCTACATAAGCAGATGCAACATCAAACAGTTATTTTTTCTCCTTTCCCCTTGTCTAGAAGGCCCCTCCCAAACATCTCAACCTGTGACATGCTATCTGTGCCCCACTGAGCCTGCCTAGAGCCTCCAGCTGCAGGAAACCCCTTCCTCCCAGGCCTCCCTCAGCAGTGCTGACCAGAGTAGGTTCTGGCCGCAATCACCTGGTCTGGCTCCAAGTGCTGGTTCCGCCACTTACCAGCTCAGTGACCTTCAGTGAGTGACTGAGCCGCTCTAAGCCCCAGTTCTTTTTCATCAGTAGGGTGGACGTGAGAATAATACCTGACCTCAGGGGTCATCAGAGAGCTCAGATAGGAATTCATTTTTAACCTCTAGCACAGTGCCTACTACACTGCAAGCATTCAACAATTATTATTATTATTACTTAATATTTTATTTTTACAAATCACACCTTCCTCTAAGACTACAAGCTTCTTGAGGGCAGAGATTCTCTTTTGTCTTTTAAATCCCCAAATGTAATCACATAGACCAGTGGCTCATATGGAGTAAATGCTAAACTTTTTAAACAAATGACAGTCCTTTCCCCATGTATTTATACAATGTGCCTACAATTACATTCTCTCTTTTGAACCTCAGAACTGTATCAGTGAGACAGACAGGGTGGGTAACATGTTCCTTTTAGATAAACAAACTGAAATACTGAAAGGGATTACCAACTCCTCATTTAATAGCTGTTCCATTGTACCTGCTATCTCTTAGGAAGGAAAAATAGAACTGATGGGAGCAGAAAACCAAAATCAACACTTAATGGAGACAACCTACAAGCCTGTGCCCAATTTCACACCCTCCCTCCCTTGATAGACATTTTACTGATACCTCCTCTGTGCCAGCCCCATGCCAGTGTTGTGTGTGGGGTCAGGATAAATACCTCAAGGCATTCAGCTCCTCACAGAGGACAGCTAAAGCCGTCTATAAAAGTAATGCTGACACACTGCACAAGAAGTACAGTAGAAACAGTGAAGAATTTCACACACACACACACACACACACACACACACACACACACACACACACTGATGGGATGAACACAAGGGAGGGGACAATCAGGGAAGGCTTCCCAGAGGCAACCACACAAAATTATGCCTGTGCCCTCCCATCCTTCTTAACTTTTCCTTCCCTGGGGCCCTTCTTGTCTCCAATGTCTTACAGACTCAAGGTCATCATTCACTGTCTTGGTTTCTACACAATTTAAGGAATAACTGTCAGCACTCCCTCAGCTGCTGAAGGTAGAGAAGTAGTATTAACTGTCTCAGGACAAAACCACCACATTCTGGATGGATTTCAGCATTTTTAGACCAGATTCTTAGTTATTCCAGGAAAGGACATTGGGAATCAAAACCTACCGAAGTCACTGGAGGAACAAGATGCCAGCTGGTGGGTAAGAGGGTTGTAGGAGACACACTGTATAGAATCATTATGCCTGGAAGTAAACAACTATAGATTATTATGCAGCAAACCACAAATGTCTCAATGGCTACCACTGAAGATTTTAACTATGAGCCCACAGCCTCTGACTATATGCCGCATGTCCTTCTGCAAGTGACCAACAAAAAGCCCACGGATTAACTCTCCTTGTCCTGGATTGCCCCTCACCCACCATTTTCATTACCCCCCCATCATCCTGGCCCAGCTTAAACACTGTCTCCCCTGGGACTATCATGCCTGACACCTCCAGTTTCTGAGCTAATGAGATAAGGAGATGAAGAACCGAGCCTAGTACCAGCTGCAGAGCAAGTGCTTTGTCTGTGGCTGTTACCTGTACTGCATTGTGTAGGCCTGGAAATACAGGATGGAGGTGCCATGAAGACACTACAGGCCAAGATTTGGACACGTGGCAAATCCTTAGACAGAAATGAAAACTGAGGGAGTCATGCACCGCACATGGCGTCTCAGCCCCAGTTTTATTCCTTCACTTCTGGGTAACACTTTACTTATAACCTCAGTCACTCTTCCATTTATTCATTCATTCAAAAATTATTCACTGACTTATACACCCACATGCAGCATTGTCTACAACAGCCAGGAGATGAAAGCAACCCAAGTGTTCATCAACAGATGAATAAACAAAATGTGGAAGGAAATTCTCACACATGCTGCAACATGTATGAACATTGAGGACACTATGTTAAGTAAAATAGCTCAGTCATAAAAGGACAAATACTTTATAAGCTACCTAGAGCAATCAAATTCATAGAGACAGAAGGTAAATGGTGATTGCCACATGCTGAGAGGCGGAGGCGGGGGGAAGTTGTTTAATGGGTCTAGAGTTTTAGTTTTGCAAGGTGAAAAAAGTTTTGGAGATTGGTTGTACAATGTGAATGTACTAAACAGTACTGAACTGTACTTAAAAAATGGTTAACATGGTAAATTTTATTGTAGGTATATTTTACCACAATTGAAAAGAAAAATGAAATTGTTTGAGTAGTTACTATGGGCCAAGCATTGCACTAAGCACCAGGCACACAAAAGTGATCAAAAACAGAGGCGGGGCCGGCCTGTGGCTCACTTGGTAGAGTGCGGTGCTGATAACACCAAGGCCACGGGTTCGGATCCCATATAGGGATGGCCGGTTCGCTCACTGGGTGAGCGTGGTGCTGACAACACCAAGTCGAGGGTTAAGATCCCCTTACCGGTCATGAAAAAAAAAAAAAACAAAAAACAAATGCGACGTCTGCCCTCATGGAACTCACAGGCTGACGGCAATATCAATCAGTCACCAGAATAAATGGAAAACTACAACTGTAAGAAATGCCTTGAAGGCAAAAACAAATGCGACGTCTGCCCTCATGGAACTCACAGGCTGATGGCAATATCAATCAGTCACCAGAATAAATGGAAAACTACAACTGTAAGAAATGCCTTGAAGGAGACCTGCCCGAGTCTAGAGCAGCAGGAAAGGCTTCACAGAAGTGACATTTGAGTCTGAGATCTGCAGGGCAATTGGGGGCTAATGAGGGGAGGAATGGGGGAAAAACACGAGCAGAGCCCCTACAATGGGAGGAGGCCTGGAGCACAATGATCCCAAGTTTCTGGGTTTTGACACTGGGTGGATGCAAGGCCATTCCCTGAGATGAGAACATTGGAAAAGGACAGATTGGGGGTGGGGTAGAATATTCGACGTCAGATTAACTGAGATGAGCTACATGAAAACGTCAAGCTCAGTCAGTGCTGGCCAAGCTAGTAAACACTCAAGAAATGTTCATCCACTATTCACTACCCAACCTGACTGTACCCCACCCCCCCACAGTTTAATATCAAGTTCAATTTCAGAGAAAAAGTTCTTCATTACATCTTTTCTATGGGACTTGCTAACACTACTCAACAACAGTCAAACTAATAACACCATACACTTAAATTGTTACTTACGTGTACTTCAAAATGCCTTCCAATTTTGACGTCCAGATAATAACACTTTTGTCAGCTGATCCAGAAGCAAAACGCTTGCCTAAAAGTGTTTTTACAAAGAAAATTCTCATATTTATTTTAAACCAGCATTTCCCCAAAAGTATTTTGTAGAAAACTAGTTCTTTAAGGTACTAATAAGTGTCAGCGTCTTCTCTGCTACTACTTATCAATACTGGGAGGGAGTTCTCTGGAGTCAGGATGTTGGGGTTCCAAACCTGCTCTGTCTGGTACAGAGTAAACAGATGCATTGAGGGCCTGCTACATGTAGGTATCATGTTCTGTGTTAAGGATTGAGTAGTGATTAAAACACACATGATCCCTACTTTCATGGAGTGTAGAATAGCAGAAGTAGGCATGAAATTAAGTTAATCCAACACAAACACAATGTGGTAAGAAAAGATATGGATCCTATGACAGAGAATAACTGGGGGACCAGTTATCTCTCTTTATTTAAATTTTATATATTTTTTATTTAAATTTAGTTTTTAATTAAATTTTTATTTCTATTTGGCAAATAATAATTATAGGGTTGACCAGTTAGCTCACTTGGTTAGAGCATGGTGTTGATAACAACAAGGTCAAGGGTTCAGGTAGGTCACTGCACCAGAAAGCTGCCAAAAACAAAATTGTATATATTTATAAGGTATGATGTGATGTTTTGATACATATACACATTGTGGAATGATTATATAAAGCTAATTAACATACCCATCACCACAGATATGTATCATTTTTTGTAGTGAGAACATTTAAAATCTATTATTTTTAGCTGTTTTGAAACGTACATTATCATTAATCAGGGTCACCAAGCTGTGCAATAGATCTGGAAAACTTATTCCTCCTATCTAACTGAAACTTTGTTCCCTTTGATCAACATCTCCTGAGGGATCTAATTTAGATGAGAGAAGTCTTCTCTGAGGATGAGATCCTTCAGTGGAGGCCTAAAGGAAGAGCAGAGCTTAGCCAGGTATAAACAAAAGACCCATCCTAGTAGACAGAAGAGATGTGTGAAGGCCCTGAGGCAGGAAAAGCCTGGCATGTCTGAGGGGCCTAGAGGCAGCCAGCATGGAACAAGGGTCTGGGTTGAGATGGGTGGTGGGCTCTAGGGTCACAGTAAAGATCTTGTTTTTTAACCCAAAGCAATAGGAAGCCAAAGACTGGCTTCAGGCAGAAGAGTGACAGACTGAATTTGCATTTTCACACTACTTGGGCTTCATGAAAGAATGGACTGGAGAGAAGCAACACAGAAGTAATTACTTATTAATTACATTGTTACAAGTTCACAAGTACTTGGAAGAGAATCAGGGTATCATAGCAGCAAACAAGGAGCCTTCACCTACTCCGGTGAGAGATGAGGATTAAGAGGTAAGCACAGGCCAGATTTTATATACCCTGTTAAGGATTCTCAGACTTTATTCTTAAGGCAAGTGGAAGGTAACTTTAGGCAAAACACTGCTCTGTGAACCTCAGTGTCTTCATCTGAGACACAGAGGGATAATAACACCTTCCTCAAAGGCTCTTTGCAGGGGCCATCTAAGAGAATGTATGTAAAGCACCTTTCACAGTGGCTGAAACAGCAGACTTTAAGGGTGAGCCATATGACAATGCTGCAAATAAGAAATACATAGAAGTTGCTCATGTTTATTATTACTTCTGTCACTCCTCCCTCAGACTGGTAGGCAGCAGGTGATGAAAAGTATGGGCTCTGGGCTCAGAATCTCTGTGTCGGAATTCCCAGTGATGTCACTGACCAGCTGCATGACTTGGAACAAGCTACTGAACATCTCTATACTTTCATTTCTTCATATTAAAAAGTGGATACAACAATAGCATTTACCTTGGAGTTGATGAGAAGATTAAATGAGTGTGTGTGTGTGCGTGTGCGTGCACGCTGCTTAGAACTATGCCTAAAATAGAATCGATGCTGTTATTATTACTATTATTTCTTCATGTTGTTTTACAGTGTTTCTTTTCCTTTTTTTAAATACTGTTTTTCTTGAACAAAAAAACCCTATGCCTTGCACAACTCTCTATCACAGTTGCTCATTAAATACTTATTAAACTTAAGGGAGACATCAGAAACAAGCAGACTTAATACTTTGCTCAAGAGCAAAACAGTAATTCAGTGTATCTCAATCTTCAGGTCTAAGGGGAGAAGACCAGTTTAGAAGAATAACAACTAAAAGATTTCTCGATTATTATATTACATAAGGGTCATGAAGAGCAGCACGATATACTAGAAAGAACAAGGGCCCTGTAGTCGGTGGACCTGGGTCAGGCCCAGCTCTGTCACCATCATCAGTAATTGCTCCAAGCCTGTTTTCTCATCTGTGAGAGGAGGTAAGAATCCCCGCACTCTCTGCTTTAGAGGGTTGTTAGATCAAATTGAGATGATGTGTGTGACAGGACTCTGCAAAGTGCTGCACAAATGCCATTGCTGGCAGGTCATATTCTGACATCCTCCAGTGCCTTAATGGTTTTCCAAGTCCGAGAGCCCTCCTATGCTTATAAACTCCAGAGGCCCAACAACCATTCTGTGCCTTCTGGGTCTTGTATTGGACCCTGAAGTGGTCCATGTTTCACAAAGTCCTCTTAGGATGAAGCAGAAACAGTTCAGCTTTCCAGGCTCCCTCCTCACAGTCTCCCCACAACAACATTACTCTGAACTTGAAGTCAATCATGCGCATAAAAAATATGGGACTACCACAGCATAGCACACTGGCTATTAAGCAAGAAATTAGTGTTGTCTTTGAACCAACTTACTAAATGACCGTAGCAAGTCACTTATCTTCTCTAGGTCTTTTTTTTTTTTTTTTTAAAAAGATGATCGGTAAGGGGATCTCAACCCTTGGCTTGCTGTTGTCAGCACCACGCTCAGCCAGTGAGCAAACCGGCCATCCCTATATAGGATCCGAACCCGGGGCCTTGGTGTTATCAGCACCGCACTCTCCCGAGTGAGCCACGGGCCGGCCCTCTAGGTCTTTATATACATCTACAATGAACAGATGGGCAAGATCAGACAAAACTATATGCATGAAATTTTGTGTATAGCAGGGGTCTTCAAAAAGTTCATGGAAAGATTTGCATTATCTTTTTTTTTTTTTGTGGCTGAAAATGAATCCTTAACCTTGGTGTTATAATACCATGTTCTATCCGACTGAGCTAACTGGCCAGCCCCTGTATTATCTTTTAATTCTACTTTTCCATGAACTTTTTGAGCTATCCTCATACATGAAGTAGGTACATTTTTCTAGAGAAGAGTCTATAGCTTTCATCTGATTCTCAAAAAGGTCTGTCATCCAAAAGAAGTTAAAAACCTGAGACCTGAGTGGTCTCCAAGGTTCATTCAAGCACTGTAACACTCAAATTCTGACTTCTCAGCAGTGGCCACAGAATGCTCTCTCTAATCCTATACCCACTCGACACATGAAAAAACTGAGACTCAGAGAGATTCAATAACCGGCTCAAACTCACAGAGCTTTTAGTGTTGGGCTGGGATTGGAACTCAGAGCTGTCTCATTCCAAAGCCCCTGTTCTTCCCTTTAATACTACGCTATGGGTAGCATGGATTTATGTCTGACTCTCAGTTTCAATTCTATACACCCATTCTCTGACCCACCTCCCCTCTTTCCACCCCACCTGGTGCCCTAACTGCAATAACCCTTCAGCACCACTAGAACCTGTCACCTCTCCATTGCCCCTTATTCCTTGTGGTCTCCTCTCTCCTTATTACTCAGCTGACATTTGAAGATCAATGTATGTATCATTCATTTGCACAACCCTTTGCTCCCTTGCCTCTCACTTCACCTCCAGAAGTGCTTGCGAAGCCACCATTCTGGTTAAATCCACCTCTTCTTCCCAAAGTGGCTGGAGAAAAAGACAGAATCACACCAACTGGTCTCACTTTCAATTTATGATCATGAGCTTCAAGTGGGCCCTTCACGTCACCAAGGATCTCACTACACTTCCCAGGTCCATTCACTCTCTCACACTCCTAGGTGGCAATTTTACACGTTTTCCTTTCTCCTCAACTCTCTAACACCGCCTTCTCCGTCCTCACTCTCAGCTGATGTTGCTTCCTATCTCACTGAAAAAGTGGAAGGAATCCAAGGATTTCCATGAGACTCCTACTACCACATGCTGCCACCTGCAGGTAGCTGCAGTTCCTACCACGCCTCAACCTTAAAGCAAATGCCCCATCACTGCCCTACATCCCACCTCCTCTCACCCACTCAGACTGTTCTAGCAATTCTCTCCCATTTCTCCTCTATCATCAACTTTTTTCAGCTTCAGTATGTCCAGAACTGAACTGCTCTTCTGCTGAAATCTTTCTCTACATGCAGCCTTTCCCATTTCAGTGGAGGGCAACTCCATCCTTTCTGTCGTTCAGGTAAAAAATCCTGGAGTCATTCTTAACTCTTCTTTCTTCACATTCCACATCCAATCTGTCAGGCAGTCTGACTGCTCAACCCCCATGTATCCAAAATCTGATCACTTCTTGCCACTTCCTTTGACCCCGAGAGGTCTAAGTCACCGTCACCACTTGCCTGGATACTTCCCCAACCCCACCTCTTGTAGGCTGTTTCTAACACACCAGTTAAAGGGATCCTTTTAGAATATGAGGATCAATCAGATCAGACCCCTCGTCAGCTCAGAACTCTTCAGTGGTTCCCCATTTTCACTGAAAAACAAAGGCCAACATATCTTATGCCTGCTGCCTCTCTACTCTCACCCTGATTCCCTCTGCCCCAGCTCCTTGTAGTCACACCCCACCTGAGGGCCTTTGCAATGGCTCTTCCCTTTGCACGAAACTTTCTTCCCCCAGATGCCCACTGTCAGATCTCTCTGCCTCATGACTTCAAGCCTTTGCTCAACTTCCCCATCTCCATAAGCCTGTCCTCACTACCCTGTTCAATACTGCACATAACCCCCTGCATTCTCAATCCCCTAATTCTGCTCTACTTTTCTTCTTCCACAACACCATCACCTTCCCACTTACTGCTTACTTTACCTATTTACTATGTTTACTGTATGTCTTCCCTCGAACTTTCCTCCTCCTTCCCTCCCCCACACCCCCGGCCCCAGAGAATATAAGTCCCATAAAGGCAGGGAACTTTGTCTATTTTTTTTTTTGTTCTCTGAAATATCTCAAGCACCTTGAACAGTGCCTGGCATATAGATGATCCTCGATAAATACTTGTTAGATTGAATGAATGAATTGAAGTCTAAGCAACTTCATTGTCTTCTGAAACTTTATCTTCTGAAAAAGAAGCTGTACTTCAGCTTACTAAATATAATTCAGGAGTGATTAAGGAGAAAAATAAACAGATATGAGGTCACTACAGAGACTGGAAATCCAGAGCAACCTCTTACCATCCTTCGCATATGCCACACAGTACACAGTGTCTTTGTGTCCCTTGAGGGGCTGGATTAAGGTACCATCAGAGGTGTCATAAACCTGGCAAAAAAAGAGACAAAAATACACATTATCTATGTGGTATCTATTAGTCAGTATTTCTGAAGGGTTGCTACTGCTATTTTTATTTTTACAACAAAACATTTGTCAATATTCTAAATTTGTGTCAAATTTACACTGTGAAAACAGAAAGAATGTGACTTAAAGTTGGTTAACAAGAAGTAAAGAGGTCTCAGTTCTATGCATTATGTTCCCAGGAACATATCATTAATCCTTTTTTCATTGTTTTTGGTGGCTGGCCAGTACAGGCATTGAATCCTGGACCTTGGTGTTATCAGCACCACGCTGTAACCAACTGAGCTAACCGGCCAGCCCGTTACTCACTCCATGGAAATTCTCTACAAACTTCACTCATTTTTACATGAATTTGGATATATGACCAATTATGGCAGGCCCTCCTAAATAAAGCCAGCAAATACAAACAGCCAGTTACAGCATGATTAAATTTTAGTGCTAATCCTGCCCCCTAATATCAACATTATAGAGAGATGTTTCGTATTTGCTACCAAGAGTTTGAAAGTCACAGACCTAACTCTGCGTTTGCAAGTAGGAGGGAATATTACAAAACGCATTTGTAGTATGGATTTAGGATTTTTTTTTTTTTTTTTAAAGATGACCAGTAAGGGGATCTTAACCCTTGACTTGGTGTTGTCAGCACCACGCTCTCCCAACTGAACTAACCGGCCATCCCTATACAGGGATCCGAACCCTTGGCCTTGGTGTTAATCGGCACCACACTCTACCAAGTGAGCCACGGGCTGCCCCTGGATTTAGGATATTTTTGACAGCTGTGCAACATCTAGAAATATGTGGAGATTTAAAAAACATACCATCTAAGAAATCAAGGCAAAACTCTCCAAAATGTGTTGGAGAAGATTATTTATGAAGAAAAACTAAAAGGATTTGGGTTGTTTACTCTGGAGAGAAGAGGTCTGCAGAACAATTTAAGCATGGTTTTAAGATTATGTAGTTACCATACAGAGAATGGAGATAAGTAAGTCTGCATATCTAGAGACAGCAGAGAAGAGGAAGTGTACTTATGCAGGAGGAAGGAGAGACTGTACAAAGGTTTTTAGGTCAAACATAAAGAGTTCTCTGAAAATTACTTTTATATACAGGCATAAGTTCCAGAGGGAGCTTATGTTCTTTGAAATATAAAAAATAGAATAGCATCCATATGGAATTGTTTAGCTAGGCCAGTGCCTAAAGGTTGGGGTCAGGCTATCTGGCTTCTTATGGGAAGAGCGCCTTCAATTCTGTTGCCTGAATTTTTCTGAGGGACAAAAATGTGAACTGACACCAGCCCAGTTTCAAAGGCATTTTGATGAACTGTTTTCAACTCTTTCATGTGTGCTCAAGGTAAAAAGGGAAAGATTAATGACTCTAAAGTAGTTATTGTTCACGGGTTCCTCTCCTATAGTCAGTTTACTTATCTGTTTTAAATAGTCCATTTCCTTCCCTATTAAAAGGTAATGACTGGTTTTTCCGCCCTTGCCTTTTTTCATCTCAAAAAAAAAGGGGGTGGCGGATGGGGGGGTCAAATTTCAGAGTACTTACAAGAGGGAGGAGAAAAAAATAATTTAAAAAGTAAAAAGGAAACTCAGACAGAATCCTACCAGTAATCTGTTTCCTGCAGCCAAAATCAGTTGAGTTCCATCAGGCTTAAATGCAAGGTCATATATACTAAACAGGAGACAAGAGAAGACAAAAAGACAATTAGGAACCAAAATGATGAGGTCGGCTAATGGCCAGGAAAGCAAGCTTTATTTCCATTATAAAACACTTCATGTGTAGTGGGGAGAAAAATAATGGCTAAGAATTGCATTTGGTTGCAAATTCCATTCGACCACCACACTTCGGCAGCCTATTCAATCATGATTCACTCAGCAGTTAGCTCTATGTCCCAATTTCCTCTTGTCCAGAAACGATTCAAAGGGTCAACAGTTGAGGACACTAACTCTTCTAATAATACCATAAAGCCTTGACACCCTGAGAGAATGCGTGAGGGCTGATAAATCCATACAGATACTTACTGAGTGCTCGTAGGTGCTAGGCATCAACAGATATGAGTAGATCACAGTCCCTCCCTGTCCTCAAGGAAATTATCATCCAATGGGAAGGTGTGAATCAGACACATTCACAAAGAACTACCACATGTCATGAATTCTAAGGCATACATTTTTTCACATTTTATCATCTCTGAGGTTGGGATGTGTCTTACAATTGAGGACATGTCAGTTTAACTGGCAGCATTTTCTACTTTCTTACTGATATGCAAAATAATGTTATTTTATAATCAATGACTTCTTAGATTGGATGAAATACAGAATAATGCTGTGATAAAAGCTTTAGAGTGTTGTGGGGCGAACGCACAGAGGAATCCAAGACCGGCGTCAGTGTTGCAGTTTTTATAGCTCTTTATTTTAGTGTTGCAGCTCTTTGTTCAGTGTTATAGCACCTCTTTTTGCTTGCAAGCAAGGAGAGCACTGGGGAGCAAAAACTCCTAAACCAGTGTCTCCCAGAACAAAGGAAAAGACCATCTTATATAGCCTAAATTCCTGCCCTTTTCCCGCCCAAGTTTCCATTCAGGTCCTCTTATATAAATGAGGGAATACAGTCCAGCTAATTTGGATTGGCTGATTATGGGACACAGTCCATTGGTCACTTTTGGAGCCTAATTTGCATCCGGCCCCTGGGGGATGTGAGACTGCTGTTATCTCACAGAGGGCGGGTACAGGAAGCAAGCTAAGTTGTAGAGGCCAGAGTCTGCAGTTAAGGCAGTCAAGCATAGAGTTTCTAAAACAGTTTCTCAAGTGGAAAACGGGAAAAGGCTTAACAATTAGAAAACGTGAAGGGTTGGCCGAGCCCGTGGCGCACTCGGGAGAGTGCTGCACTGGGAGCGCTGCAGTGCTCCCGCCGCGGGTTCGGATCCTATATAGGGATGACCGGTGCACTCACAGTGCTCACTGGCTGGCCTTGGTGTGGCCGGTCTCAAAAAGGACAAAAAAAAAAAAAACAACAAAAAACATTTAGAGCCGGCCCGTGGCTCACTCGGGAGAGTGCGGTGCTGGTAACACCAAGGCCCCGGGTTCGGATCCTATATAGGGATGGCCGGTTTGCTCGCTGGCTGGGCGTGGTGCTGACAACACCAAGTCAAGGGTTAAGATCCCCTCATTGGTCATCTTTTTTAAAAAAAGAAAAAAAATGTTTAGGGTTCCCTGCAACAAGGAGATACACTAAAACATATTACAGGATTCAAAGGATGAAGACACAGCCTTCTGATTTGGGAAGAGGATCAGAAAAAGCTTCATGAAGAAAACAGTATTTGAAAAAGGGAGGGCATTGGAGACATGCAGGAGGAGGTTGGGTAGGTACAGCATTTCAGGAAGAGTAAACAGAACAGGCAAAGACATGAAGGTGGGAAATAGCAAGTAATCTAAATAATCTAATTTGACTGAAACATCTGGCTATGTACTAGGCAGTAAGGAGAGATAAGGCTAGAAAATCAGGCTGGAGTCCTATTACAAAGATTCTTGAATGTCCCAGGCAGAGGGTTTCATTAGTTCAGGTGATGGTGATACTGGTAAGAATGTGTCAAAATGGCCTACTGTAAAAGTTTAGCATAGGATAAACTCACCTGGTACTTGTCAGTAATCTAAAAATAATACATTCTCAGTGACAGTACTTGGAGCCCTAGCCACAGAGAGCTCTGTGCTGAGCTCTTCAAATGCACTATTTTATATTTCACCCTCACAATAATTCTGTGAGGTAGGGATTATTATTGCAGATGAGAACACCATGGCTCACAAAGGTCATGTACCTCATTCAATGTCACACAACTAGCAAGGCAACGGGCCAGAATATCACCTTAGGTCTGGCTCTAGAATTTGTGCTCTTAACCGCTATACTGCCTCTTACTCTCTTGAAGTATTTGCAAGTATGTCAAATCTGTTACCCTTAATACTTTAACAGTGGCTAACATTTATTGAGCACATTTATTACTGTGCGTGCCAGGTACAGTTTAAAAGCTTTACATGTATTAACTCACTTAACCGCACAATAACCCTATACCTATTTTGCAGATAAAAAAACTAAAGCACAAAGAGGTTAAATAACTTGCTTGAAAATAAGCTGCTACTGAGTGGAGGTGGAGCCAGGATTCAAACCCAGGCAGTCTGGCTCTGAAGCCCATGCCTTTGCCATTAAGCTTTGTGGCCTTCATTAGCATTACTGTTAGCATATGCCATGGTTGACAAAATAATTAACAATAGTTTTCAAGCCTTATCAAAAGCAAAAAATAAAAAAAAACAAGAAAAGGGGATAAAAAGGTACCATCACCTACTTAAGGCATTACATGTAGAATTCAGAAAGCATGATGTCTGGGCTTTTTAGGTCTATTTTTTTTTTTTTTTTATCATTTCTCTCAATAAATTTTTTTTTTCCTCAAATTTTTTAAATTTTTTTTTCCTTATCAAAAGCAAAAAATAAAAAAAAACAAGAAAAGGGGATAAAAAGGTACCATCACCTACTTAAGGCATTACATGTAGAATTCAGAAAGCATGATGTCTGGGCTTTTTAGGTCTATTTTTTTTTTTTTTTTTAAAAGATGACCAGTAAGGGGATCTTAACCCTTGACTTGGTGTTGTCAGCATCATGCTCAGCCAGTGAGCTAACCGACCATCCCTATATGGGATCCGAACCAGGGGCCTTGGTGTTATCAGCACCGCACTCTCCTGAGTGAGCCACGGGCCGGCCCTTAGGTCTATTTTTTAATTATTTTTTGTTTTGTCTCATCCTGCACTATCAGCTGGCATATCTAGCTGCCGTCAAGATTGCTAGTATATAGAATCCCTACACTCCCTATTCTAATAGGTTGTTTTAAACCTGTAATTGGACAAAGACCAGATAAGCAATCTTCATTCATTATTCATTTATTCACTTATTCATTCATTCATGAATACATCTATCTATCAGATAGTAACAACCACTGACCCGACTAGGCTCTGGGATAATGTGGAAATGAGTAAGACACAGTCATTGCTTTTAAAGGGTTTATAGACTTCTGGAATAAACAGATTCAAAAATAACTCTTACACTCTACAGACTCTATGTATCACAAGAGAGGAATGAACAAAATTCTGTGCCAGGGGTTGAAAACGGAGGAAATCAGGCTGCATTTGGCCAGGAAATGTTTTCTTTGGCCCACATGGTGTTTAATTTTGTTTTTTTCAGATTAGGTGCCAACATTTAAAAATGAGGACATTTCACATAAAAACCCACATTTCTAGCTCCTGGTAAAAATAGGCAGTTCTAAGCACACTAGGCCAAATTCCTGCATGGTGGTAATTGGCAGGGGCTGAGCAGCAGCTGCCCCTTTCAGGCAGAGCATTAACTCTCCCGTTTGCCATTCTCTTGCCACTCTACTACTCTCTGACATCGAAGCCAAACGTTCAGTTGCCAGTTATTACCAGCTTGTGCTGTGGGTATTTTTATAATAAAGAGAAAAGTAAAAAAAACCCAAACAAACCATATTTACTCAAATCTCTATGAAAAGTAGAAATGAAAGATACACTGGTAGGGTTAGGTGTTTCAAGCAAAGTGGGGTACAGAATAGAATATTCCTAGGGAGGACGGATAATTCCTTGTGTTTATGAAGCAAATATACATCTCCCATTTATGTTACCTTCCTGGCTCCTGCAGACATTTGAGTTTGCCACCTCTGTGAGACAGGAAAAAATTAACGCAGTGGCTGAGGAAGACTTGAGCTTGAAAGCTGGCTGTGTGATCTTGGGAAATTATCTGCCCTCTCTGTGCTTCAGTGTCCTCGTCTGTAAAACAGAGGTAATTATAGTACCTACCTAAGAGAGTTGTTGTGAGGAGAGTAGGAGATAAAGGCTATGAAGTTCTCAGCCAGTGCTTGGCACACAGTAGACGTTAGCTACTACTAGTGCAGAGTACAAAAGAGAGCAAGGCCATCTCCAAAGGGAGCCTTAAAAAATGATCAGGATTTCAACGTGAGGAGGTGAGGAAAGAAGGCCTGCTTTACACAGAGAAAGGGCTCGGAAAAGACAGAACGAGTGGCAAGTATCCTGTCCCAACGGCCAAAACAGAGTCTCACAATGAAGCCAAGATCATCCAGGAAGACTTTGAGAGTTAGACCGCGAGGAACTTATCCAATAAGTCAGCATTTCCCAAAATGTACCACTGTGTGATGGATTCAGGTGATAAAAACGCAACAGGACATTAAATAACATTGAATCAGAAGGTGAGATAGTCACTCTCCTTCGACCCCTTTCATACTTTCTCGTTAGGAGAGTCCTGATGCGATGTTGTCTTGAGTACTCTGACCACACCTGCGAAATCTCCAGTTCTAGACGTAGGAGGACGTAGGCTGGGAGGGTCCCCGGCCACAGCACCCAGCTCAAACTCCTAGCGCTGCTTTGCTTCTCCCTGCTCTAAGTCGCACAGTTATCTTACACTGACAGCAGGGAATACTGGTGTTTCATATTCGGAGTAAAGTTTTCTTGTGAAATGTAAAATCATATTCAAGCGAAAATAAGCGAGACCACTTAAAGTGTCAAGTAAACAAGAGCACGGGTGACACGCGGATGTGGCATTGGAGGCACACCGTGGTGGCGTCGGATGAGCCCGGGACGGACGGGGAAGGAGCGACGAGTCCAGTCGTGACGGTACCGAGCCGCCGCGACGGGCGCAGCCCCACGCGTGCGCTTCCCTCTGCCCCTCCGAGCCTCAGGGGCTTCTGCACCGCCCAAGGCAGGGAGGTGGCCCCTCAGCCTCCAGCCAGGGTCAGGGCCCTCGCCCGGCCGCCACCGCTATGCTTGCCGTGGCTCCCGCCATCCCGGCCGAGGCCCGGCTTCCCGCCCCTCCCGGACTGCCAGCTCCTCACCACTGCTCGGCTTTATCTCTCCACGTCAACACGACCCGCATCGCGGCTCCCTTCACGCCACGGGCCTCTCCTCCTCGCCTCAGTTACAGGTTCCACTACGCCAGCCACTTCGGCTACCCGCGCTGCCCCTGGCAACGCACATGCGCAGTGAGCTACGCACGAGTGCGCGCGCGCACAGCTCCCAGTGCGCATGTCCAAAAGGGAAGGCGGGAAAAGGAGCACGAACGAAGGCGAAAACGCAGCTAGGGCGCGCGCGATTGGTCAGGGCGGGGGCGGGGGCGGTGCGTCTTCATAGGCAAAGGATTTGATAGGTGGAGCCCTGGACGTGGCAGCCGCAGTTGGACGGGCGGCTGGCAGGCAGCTCCCGAGCCTGAGGGACTTTCACTAGGTTCAGGCGCTTGCTCCACTGTGGCCCTCTGCCCCGTAAGAGTTTTCACATCTTACTCCTCTCCACATCTGGGGCGTCGCACCTCTCGGTCCGCTGCTGCAGCCGGAGCTCGCTTAACCTGCACTGCTGGGATGGAGAGCCCGAGCCTGGGGGACGGCGGAGCGGCCCCCGAGGTCAGCTCCAGAGAGCTCCTGCTCTCAGACCGGCCGTGTGACCTCTGGCAAGTTATCGTCCCCTTTCGGTCCTCACTTTCACTACCGTAAAATGGGAGCGGGGAAGTAGACGGTGTGTGGGCCTTTCTAACCGAGGTCGGCAGACCTCGAGGCATGCAGGGTTAGTTGCTAGGAGCGGGGGCTGGAGTTCTGGCACTCTTGCCCTGGAATCTGCCCTGGAGTGCCCGAATTCCTAACCCCAGATGACTAGGGAGCTGAGAAGAGCAGGCAGGTTTTGTGGTGCAAGGAGAGGTCTGCTTGGGTTGGAGGCTCCTAGGAAGAACTTGGAGGAGAGGGCATGTTCAACAGACCCCGAAATTGGTCCCATGAGAAGTAACAAGTACAGTCTTTTATTGCGCTTATGTATATGTGCGATATGAGGCTAAGGTGATTTAACTACATTTTTTCCAAAATTTAATCCTCAGAACTACCTTAATAGAAATTCTTTACCTCCTTTTTACAGGTGAAGAGATGAGACTTTGAGAAATTAAATAACTTGCTCTTGGACACACAGCTAGTAAATGATGCAGCTGGGTTTGAGCCCAGTCTTTTGACTTCAAAGTTTGTGCTTATTTCACCAGATTTTTGTTTCTGTATCTCTAAAATTGTAATCTATATCATCTCATAAGATCCATTCAGCTCCTCAAAATTATTTAACCCCAAATTACATAAGAAGACCTTGATTCTAATTCTGTTTAATTACTAGTTCTTGCTTAATTATCTTATTTGTAGAAAAGAAATTGGGTTAGATGATCTCTGTAGATCCATCCAACTTTTGAAATGTATGAGTTAGTGATTAGGATATGCTTTACTGAATTTTTTCAGTAACAGTACAGGGGAGAAGTATTAGACCAAGATTTGGTAGACCTGGGTTCTGGTATCAGTTTCGCAGTTAATTTAACTTTCATGTCACTCAGTTTTTTTCAACAAAACGAGAATAAACCGTATCCTACACATCTCACAAGGTTATCATGAGGATCGAGAATGAAGGAGATTTGAAAATTCTGTATCAGAAATTATTTATCTGGGGCCTGCCCGGTGGCGCACTGCTACAGCGCACCGCTTGGGAAGTGTGGCAGCGCTCCCGCCGAGGGTTCGGATCCCACATACAGACCGGCCGCTCACTGGCTGAGCGAGATGCGGGAGCAACACCGAGGGTTGCGATCCCGTTGCCGGTCCCGGTCCAGTACGGGCGCGACACTGAGGGTTGCGATCCGTTGCCGGTCACGAAAAAAGACAAAAAGGAAAAAAAAAAAAGAAATTATTTATCTTTGGGCCGGCCCGTGGCTCACTCGGGAGAGTGCGGTGCTGACAGCACCAAGGCTACGGGTTCGGATCCTATGTAGGGATGGCCGGTTAGCTCACTGGGTGAGCGTGGTGCTGACAACACCAAGTCAAGGGTTAAGATCCCCTTACCGGTCATCTTTATAAAAAAAAAAAAAAAAAAGAAATTATTTATCTTTTGGAGAGTTACAACACTGATGAAAGTGATAGACACTCTCCCCCAGAAAAATGCACACATGTGTAAAAATTTTACCTCACTTATTTGCGAAGTAGAGGGGGTGACTCACTGATTCCTTTAAGCAGTTTTGTTGATCCCAGGTTAAGAGCTCACCTATTGGAAACTTATGCCAAATGTCACCAGAAATCTTTATAATAGCCCCATGTGATGATCAGCCAAAAGAGTGTCTAGCCAGTAGCTTGACCTTTTCATTGTGCAGAGATTTCCAACACTTTTTAACCCATGTTGGAGTAGAAGAAACATTTGAAGGACAGCAAGATACCCCCATAGCACAAGACTGGTCCATACTGGGGCTGGCCCGTGGCTCACTCGGGAGAGTGTGGTGCTGATAACACCAAGGTCATGGGTTTGGATCCCAGATAGGGATGTCCGGTTAGCTCACTTGGGAGAGCGTGGTGCCGACAACACCAAGTCAAGGGTTAAAATCCCCTTAATGGTCATCTTTTAAAAAAAAAAAAAAAGACTCGTCTATACTGACTTTAATTTCCCACGTTTTAACCTGATAATCCATGTGGTTCCCACACTGTCATGGATTGAAGTTGAGTAAGCAGAGGACAATAAATTTGAAATGAGTTAATCACTTGTACTTTGTTTTTCCAGCAAGGAAGATGTCACTGTGGGATTGGAAAGAGCGGGAGAAGATGAGAAACAAATGTTGAGAAGCAGTGAGTGTGATTCCCTGCTACAAGGACCTGTTGCTTCAGCTGAGTTTGGTGGCAGTGCAGTGACAGAATGCTGTAAGTCTGTCCCACATGGATGGGAAAGAGTTGTGAAGCAGAGGCTATCTGGGAAAACAGCGGGAAGATTTGATGTCTCCTTTATCAGGTAAGCATGGAAGGTGGTAAAGACAGTAGAGCAAATAATTTTGTCTAGACAGGTAGTGGGAAAGCATAGCAGGAATCTTGGCTTTTTCTACTTTTACTGTCATATACATTGTGGATTCTATTCCTTCAATGTCACTGTTTAGTTATATCAAGTAATTTGGGGACAGTTACGTACATTTTGTCCCTCCTACTGTGAATGGTTAATGGTGAGGTTGAACTTGTTGTATTTGTAAATCCATTTTATACAGTTATATAAGAAACCAATTTAAAGTGCTATTTATCACAGTCATATAGGAAACCATTTTAAAATGCTATTTCACTCTTTTTTATTTTTAAATGTTGCCACTGGCAACATTTGGAAATTATTAACTGGAAATCTGAAATGTGGTCCAATTCTTTTAAAAAGTCACTTCTATTTACTAGCAATAAGTTTCTTTTAATATCATTTTCTAGCCCACAAGGACTGAAGTTCAGATCCAAAAGTTCACTTGCTAATTATCTTCACAAAAATGGAGAGACTTCTCTTAAGCTAGAAGATTTTGATTTTACTGTACTTTCTAAAAGCAGCATCAAGTCAAGATATAAAGACTTCAGCATGGCAACTCTGACATCTCAACTACAAAACGAAAGTAGCAATTCAAGCTGGAACCTCAGGACACGAAGCAGATGGAAAAAAGATGCATTTCCTCTGCCAACTAGTGATGTGCAGTTGCAAGATAGCAGAGGACTGTCTAACTTTAGTTCTGTTCATTTGCTTTTGAAAGAAGATGAAAGTGTTAATGATGTTAACTCCCGAAAGTTTAGAAAGTCCAAAGGAAAAGTGACTGTTTTCAAAGGAACTCAAATTAAGAAATCTAAAAAAGGACGTGGGAAGAGTCTTTCAGATTCTGTTCAAAGTAATAGAAAAAGGGAACCTGTGTATAGTAAGGCAGATGCTGAAAGTGAGCCTCTTGCACAAGAAAATCAGCTTGATAGAACTTTCTGCATTTCTGATGCCAGAACAAGTGACAAGACTCTCAACGTGACTGATGAAGAAAAGTGCCTTGTAAAAGAAAAATCATTGAGTTCAGGATCAAATTTTCATTTTGAACAAACAATTTCTGGCATCATAAACAAATTTTGTTCAACCAAAGAAGCAGAACACAACGAGAAGTATGAGGATACCGTTTTAGAATCAGAGGAAATCAGACCAAAAATAGAAGTTGAGGAAAGGAAGGAACATTTACATATTGACATTTTAAAATGTGCATCTGAAAGGGACAGCTGCTCACAAACCAACAAAGACTTTACTTCTGAGAAAGGATTTCAAGGTATTCAGTGCTTTAAAGTGGTATTAAACACTATGTGATGAGGAGTTTATACTCCTGCATCTTGTATTTCTTGCCTGTACCCAGTTAAGATGTGGGACTAGAGCCAAGATATCAGATACATTCTACCAGTTGATCCTAATCGCTTGTGTAGCTCATCTTCGAGCTGTGTAACTGATCTTCCAGCCCTTTCCTATCGCAGAGAGAGAATCAGCTGGCTACTGCCATGATGCCCCAGCAAAGGGACCATTAGCAGCTGCCAGCCACCATCTCTCCCTGGTGCAACAGCTGGGACTTTCTCTTCTTCCCATCCTCTTTCCAGCCAGTATTCTTAAGACCTTAAGGAAAATTAAAAGGCTTCACTTGTGAAAAATTTGGGGAAGACTCCTTTTATACATAAACTGGTCAAAAATAGTTGGTGTCTTTTCTTCACACCCTTCCTGTTACTTACTACTGATGCGTGACTTCGAATTTAATTTTGTATATATCGTAGTCATTTCTTCTGTTATAATGTAGTGCATATCTAAAATGCTTTAGAGCTCTGAATAATTCAAAAGTGTAATCACATAGTTCATCTATTATTTATAATATGCTCTTAATACAGAGTTCAGAGCTTAGCAGTTTTGTCTTTATAATACCTCAGTGAATGAGATAAAAAGGAGACCGTTTGAGCAGCCCTGTATTAGTTATTCATTAAGCCATTATGGTATAATGAATAACTCCTTTAAAGAAGAATAGTAATTTTACTTAAAATTGTAGGACCGGCCTGTGGCTCACTTGGGAGAGTGCGGTGCTGATAACATCAAGGCCACAGATTCAGATC